GAATGCCACAAATTCTCCTAAATCACTCGTACGCACAATTTAAGAACAAATCTGTGCGTACGAACGGTTCTTGCATGAGGCCCATTGTGTCTAAAAAATGCTGAGTTAAAACCATTTTAAATTAAAAGTGTTGGCCATCTTGAATATTTAAATCCAGAATAGTTTTTTTTTATTTGTAAACGCTCCCTAAAAAACTTCTTGGTCAGGTCACCCCTTTAAAAGAAGTCTAGCTCCACCTCTGCCATGGTGTGACTGAAACAGAGAGTTGCTGTTAACCTGACATGTCTTTAACCAGTTGTATGTTGTGTTGTACAGAGGAGGGGCTGCACTGTGTCTTAATGCTCAGGGAAGAAGAAATGGTGAAGCACTTGTTCGTTTTATCAGTGAAGAGCACAGAGATTTAGCCCTGCAGAGGCACAAACACCACATGGGCAACAGATATATTGAGGTAACCTGTTATAACACAGCTTGTATTTGATAATTAAAAAGTTAGATGGAAAACTCTTCACATATTAATTTTACAGCTCCATCTGTAAGGTCAAGTACTTTTAAATAACTACCTTTTTTCTGCTTTAATGGCAGGTTTATAAAGCAACAGGAGAAGACTTCTTGAAGATTGCAGGAGGTGAGGCTATTTAACACTTTTAATTTATATCCCAATATTTTTGGTGGTCCTTGTGCAAATGTATTTATGTGTGACAATCATTATGAATCCAAAAACAAATATTAAGTTGGAACCTTGGTCACATAAAGAAATATCTTGTTGATTTAACTAAATAAATATTTCTATCCCAGCCCATTAGGTGTTTTTTGCCATTAAAGAAAAGTTATAAATTAAAGAACTAGCAGGTTGGCACTTAGCAATGCTAACCAAAAAGCTAGCTTTGCTAAGTGCCAACCTGCATTGCAGAATATTAAAAACACACACCATAAAAAAATTAAAAAAACATCTGTGCAGGAGAGGTAAGAAGACCCTAGAGTCCTATCAAACCACTTCCCCTACGCTACAAAATCAACAGCATGCAAACAAACAAATCAAAACAGCACAAATCTATGCAACCGTATCACACACCATTTGAAATAAACATCATCAGCTTCCCATACGCTAAACCCCTGAAGAGGAAGCAAAATGAGTGGAAGCCAATGCTAACTACTAACTCAAGGTTAAAGATGTGTGGTGCATCTAAAGATGTCAAGCTAACAGTTTCCAAAGGTAGCAAAAAAAAGTTAGCTCTGCTATTAGTGGATTAGCAGAACTGTGCCAACCACTAATTTTTATTTGTTAAAGTGGCCCTGTAGGAGAAGCACCAAGCTAGTCAACAAGTAGACTGATTGGCATTGTTGAAATTTTATTCATACAACGATGTTTAAAAAACAACAAATGTATCCTCATCAAAATATGTTCAAATTTAACAATGCAATGATGATTTATGAAAACGTTAAAGTGAAGTTTACACAGGGTCCAACACAAGAAAAACAATTCTAATTCTATTTAAATCTGCAACACAAACTGTCATGAATCCAAGTTTAAATAGTTTTGTTTGTGGGGCCACAAAGGAACCTCCAATGAGGCGGCAATGTTCTTGTCGCGCGAGGACCAGATCATCGTGAGGATGCGAGGTCTTCCTTTCGACGCCACGCTCGGTCAGGTGCTGGACTTCTTCTCGCCGCAGGAGGAGCTGAAGGAGACGTGTCCTGTCAGCGGAGGGAAGGATGGCATCCTGTTTGTCCGCTACCCAGACGGGCGTCCCACCGGAGACGCCTTCGTGCTGTTTGCCTGTGAGGAGCACGCTCAGTGTGCTCTGAGGAAACACAAAGAAATGCTGGGGAAAAGATACATAGAGCTGTTTAAAAGTACGGCAGCTGAGGTGCAACAGGTATAGAACATTGAAGTTCTTCTTGCTTTTATTTATTTATTTTTTGTCTTTTATCACCCTTTTAAATACAAAAAGTGTTTGTTGGTTCTCACCTGAAACTCTGAACAATGTAAGGGTGTATCTCTAATATCCTGAGGAATTATCACAGCTTTATAGGTGGAGACCTGCAGAACAAGATGCTTTCATTTCATGTGTTGGTACACAGTTTCTCTGTCTAGATTTTCTCTTCCTCCTTTGTGTCCTGCACTTGTGACATGCAGTCATAGATTCATTTACCTATCTCTCAGGATGGATGAGCTTACAGCCCTCTTATATATCTATGCAGAGGCTAACCCCTCGTTTGTGTATGTGTGACACTGTGGAGCTTTATCAGCCTTCTCCAGAAATGCAAACAAGCTGGTGTCCTGTTGGCTATGGGCCAGCTCTGGTTGAGTTTAAATGTTTTTGTGGTGTCAAACATCCCCTCTGGTTTTTTTTAAATGCTATTTAAATTTTAAGTATTACATAAATGTGTGAAGTTTTCATATTGTTTTCCTGTTTTTTTCTTATAGTATTCTGCAATCTAATTACTTCGGCATTCTTTGTAATATTTAATCCATTCCTTTTAATGAAATGTTAATTAAGGAGATAAGTGATATAAATTAAGTTTTTTGCAACATTTATGATTCTTTAAAACACTCACCATCCTTTTCAAATATTTCCCCATAAAAACACATTAGCCTAATATTTCTTCAAAAACATTCTTTTTGCGATCTGTTTTAGCATGCTTTATCTATTTGGTGTTCTTATGTTGACTATTTAGCTAGAATTTGCTGCTTTTACTTGTAGGATTTAGCCAACTTAAAATTTTTGTACAGTTGTAACTTTTAGCTTTTCGCCAGCTTTAAGATACTTTCAGTTTTTAGCAAGCCTTTTGGTACTTTTTGCTAAATCCTGATTTTAGTTTTTAACAAATTTTTTAATGTGTTTGAGCATTAAAGCATTTAGCATTTTTTTGTTGCTTTTTAGCTAACATACTTCTGACTTTTAGAAAGCATTTTGATTCATTTAGTTATTATAAACTGTTTTACCATTTTTAGCTGTTTGGCAGCTACTTGATATTTTTAGTTTGTAGCAAGCTTTTTGCTACCTTTGGCCATCATTTTGCATGTTCTTAGTTTTTAGCCAGCATTTTATTAGTTCTGGATTTTTATTACATTTTGGTTTATTTACTTATTAGCAAGTATTTTGCTACTTTTAGCTTTTTGTAAATGTTCAACTTTTTTTAAAGCTAATAACAATTAATTTTCAAGCTGCAGTAGCTCGGTGGTTTAGGTTGCAGGTTTCTCACTTGCTGTGGCAACCCCAGAAGAGGAGAAAATAAACATTATAATAAAATGTGAATTAGACTATCTTAAAATATTGTCTTTTGTGGCGGAGGCTAATTTAAAACTGTGTGTTTGTGTTTCAGGTACTGAACCGGTACTCGTCGCCCCCTCTGATCCCAGTGGCCCCAGCCCCCCTGGTGTCGGTGCTACCCTCAGTCTCTCTCCTGCCCCCTCCTGGTGGTTTGAGGGACTGTCTAAGGTTGAGGGGGTTGCCGTACACGGCGAGCATAGAGGACATCCTCAACTTCTTGGGCGAATTCACACAGGATGTGAGGCCGCACGGTGTGCACATGGTGCTCAACCAGCAGGTACTAACTGCACCGACACTCCCTCAACTCACACACGTTTTGACACAAAACTGGTAAATAATGTTTGCCTTATTTTTTGTTGTTGTTATTTTCCTTTTTACAGGGTCGTCCATCTGGTGACTGCTTCATCCAGATGATTTCAGCGGAGCGGGCACTTCAGGCCTCGCAGCGGCTTCACAAGCATGTGATGACCAGCCAGCGTGGGGCGAACAGCCGCTATGTGGAGGTGTTCCCCTGCAGCGCCGAGGAGATGGGCTTGGTGCTGATGGGAGGCTCGCTCTCACACACGCATACACACACACACAACCGGAGCAGGAGTGGGACAGGGCTCAGCCCGCCACCATGTAAGTTCAGACGTAAGTGCTGCTGGGAGCTGGGGGTGCTTCGGGACTGCAGGGTAGGTGGGCTCCCCTTGCCCCCCCACCTGATGGGGGCAGGGTTTCTGGTTTCTCTCCAATCTAGAACTGTGGGAGGATAGGGAGACAGGTTCAGAATTGTGTGTGTGTGTGTGTGTGTGTGTGTGTGTGTGTGTGTGTGTGTGTGTGTGTGTGTGTGTGTGTGTG